GGGGGGGGAGGCAGAGATTTAGGGGTAGGGTATGGAGAGCTGAGGGGAGGGGGGCTTGGCGGAGTGATGGAGGGAACTAATTGGGGGAGGGGGGGGTGGAACTCGTCGAGGTTGTGGGTGGGGTAAGAAACCTGGATGTGGGGGTGGGTGGATGGGAGGAGACATTGGTGACTGACGGCGCGCTGGGGCGGTTGCTAGGAGGAGGAGGAGGAGAGAGCGGGCCCGCCTCTCGCCCCGGAGATGCACTGATCCGTGAAGGGAGCCGGCGGCGGCGGCGGCATTCGCGCGGTCGGTCGGTCGTCCGTCCGGCTGAAGGGGTGAGGATTGGGCAGTGGGTCTTCAGGTGGCACCTGCGGCTCTTCCATCGGCCTCATTTCCCACTTTGGCCGCGGGGTCCTCTTTGATCGGCCTTGTGTCCCTGACCTTCCCCATCTTCACTGTCTCCCTCTCTCTCTCTGTCTCTGTCTTGTGCTGGGATCGACTCCGTCTCCTCTTCATTCGGAAATAATTAGATTACGCTTTTTTTTTGTACAGTAATGTTAGTAGAAATTGAAAATGTACAGAAACCGCGGCATCAAATTAAATAATCTTTTACATCCACAAAAGTTTGTTTTAAACTCCCCATCTGCAAAGGAACACATTATAATTTATTATTAATTTTGGTGTAGCTGAGTCCAGGGAATGATTTGCTTGTTTTTTTTTATTTTGCGGTGAATTAAATGGTCTGAAAGTTCAACCTGAGCTTAGTTCTGGCTGAAGGATGCCAGTGGAACTTTTATATCTGTTTCCTTTGCATTCGGAATTTGTTGGTACATTTGTAATATGTTTTAATTTCGTCGTGAAAATGTTTTGATTTATGATTAAGTAATGGTACGATGAAAGGTGTTATACAAATAGAAATCTTTGACTTCGTATTGAGCAGTAAACAACTGTGACACTTTTTTTGTGAAATGTTGGTTCAGTTAATTGCATTCTCCGTCAAAAGATAATGGTTCTAGCCTCACTGCAACAGTTTGAGGACATAATTGAAGCCGGTAACCCTGTGCATTACGGAGGGAATGTTTTTTTCAACGACACATTAAGTTGAAGCTCCAACTGTGTGTTCAAAAACATAAATTCCCATTGCATTCTTTACTCGCGGAAAATCCAAGGAGGTTTCACCAACACCAGTGCCAACAAGACATCTTAACTATTTAATTGACATTCTTTCTTGTGCAGCTTGTTCCCACTATGTTCAAAAGTACTGTACTTTCAAGCATCCCTTGTTTTGTGAATGCATGACTGGCTTCTGCTTCACGAAAACAATGTTACCGTGAAATATTCAGGAAATAAAGGACACGTGCTCACAAAGAAGGAAATGAATTCTATTTGTATAGCACCTTTCACAATCTTGGCATTCTGAACTATCTCTCAGCCAATGGAGAAGTTAAAAGAGTCGTATTTTAGTTTTGCATTAAATCTGCCTCTCTAATCAGATTTCAGTTGTATATGTTTTGTTGTTTTTCTTTCTGTCATTACTTCTTTGGTTTCAAGTTGGATTTGATTTATTGTAGTCACATGTACCTAAATGCAGTAAAAAGTTTTGTTTTGTGAACAGTACAAACAGATCATAGCAAACATGGACATACAGATCATAGGGTGCTTAGATAGAGCGAGGCATACAAGGTTATGGCTGCGCAGGAGGTGCACAGAGCAAGATCAACATTATTTGAAGTTAGAGAGGTGAACAGCCTGTAGTTGTCATTCCATGTACCCATTTTTTTTTGATGGCCTGAATTGCGCACACAAAGGTGTTTCCTTAGTTCCATCACTTTCAGAGACAATAGTCTTAGTGCATTTTTTGGGCACAGTTGCTGAAACAATTGGGAAGCTGTTACAGGTTGTGTTTATGGTTATATTTTTTATTTTGATCGTTTTTATTAAACTAATTGTAAAGTTTAATCTTTTCATTGTGCTGATGCTGCTTCCAGTAATTTGTGAATTTAAATTTATGTTCAACCACAATTATTAAATTACACCTATTTTGCACAATAGTGTAAGTAAGATGACTGTAGTATGACCTCATATTTGGATGCATAAATGCCTACAAGGTTTTTGTTTCAGAAGCTTCTTTTCACTGGTAACTAGTTATTTAAAAGAGAACTTTGATTCACAGTAGTTTTTGGGAGGTGTCCATGGGAACTGTACTGTCTGAATGGAACCTCACTTGCTTTCAAGTAGATCTGTGTCACAGTATATAGATAGTTTGCTTGCACAGGTACTTAACAAGGACCAGTTCTCCTATCACTGGCCGGAGGGTATACTGTAGTAGAAAATATTGACAATGACAGGTGCTCCCCTAGATTTGCCAACTTTATATTTTTCAGTGCATATATGTTCCCACAATGCTTGGACTCTTCCTATCTAGTGGCTACAAATTGTCTCTGTAAACTTAAAATTTGCTTCCGACTTCCGAGTGTATGTTGATGACAGCCCTCCCTCCCTCTGCCTGTAGAATTGCTACTGCTTTCATGTTATAGTATTGATCTATTTGCCTCTGCTGTTGAAATCCTTATCCAGACGTGCAGAAGTACAACAAATGTATTCACCTCACTTATAGGCAGGTGAAGGCCTAGTGGTATTATCACTAGACTATTAATCCAGAAGTCCAGGCTATGTTCTGGGGAAGGGTCACCGGACCCGAAACGTTAACTCTGTTTTCTCCTCCACAGATGCTACCAGACTTGCTGAGCTTTTCCAGCAACTTTGTTTTTGTTCCTATGTTCTGGGGACCCAAGTTCAAATAGATGATGACTATGAATCCATTGTCTGTTGTTAGAAAAACCTTTTTTGGTTCCTTTAGGGAAGGAAAATTGCATTCTTCCCCTGGTCTGCTCTACATATAACTCCGGATCTAATCAATGTGATTAAATCTTAACTGTCCTCTGGACGATTAGGGATGATCAATAAATACTGCTCCAGCCAGTGAAACTCTCATCCCATGAATGAATTTCAAAACAATCACACCCTGTTTTTAAAGCCAACTCTTCAAGAAGATAGCTTCAGATTAGTTTTGCCTTTGTGTCAACATTTTGTGGCATCAGATCTCTCTAAAGATTCCAGTATGTAATTTAAGCTGACACTTAAGCAGCTTGGAGCTGTGACACTGCGAATAAGACAATAAACCAAGGTCTCCATCTGCCCTTAGCTAGTATAAGACCGGGGAACTCTTCCAGCATGCTGGCTAACATGATTTTGTCACCAGCGCTAAAGCCAATAATCTGGTCATTTATTGCATTGCTGATTATGTGAACTTTGTGTAAATTGGCTGCTTAGTTTCTTGCGCTATAACAGTGACTATATCTACATCACAATTAATTGACTGTAAAGTGCTTTGAGCGTGGGAGTTCTCTTTGTATCTTTAATTTTCCTCTTCTAAATTTCTTCCTCCTTTTGGTGTCCACATGTTGCTATCACCCCTTTAAAGCAGTTGACCCGTTTTTATCTGAAGTGCTTCATACAATTTTAAGTTTATGTCGGCATTTACTCTTTAACTTCATCTTGCTTTTGAACGTTGGGATTATTGCAAAAACAGATGAAGTCAAAGAAGTATCAGTTATAATTAGTTGTATAATTCAGTCAAATAATAGTTTAGAATAATATATTTTCATATTTCAGGAAGATTATTGCACAATGTCCCAGATCCGGATTCCTGGAACTTCGGGTTATGCTTTAATGAGTGATAAATCATTAGAGTTCTATAAGGACCCAATGCATTTTTGCAACAGTCGAATTCATAGCTATGGAAGCAGGGTTTTCCAAGCACGTCTCCTCAACAAACCAACTATATTTGTGTGTTCAGTGAAAGGAATGAAAGAATTGCTGTGTGGTAAGTATTAAGCTGTCACACGTTGGTGAAGGTCTTAATTGGTTTTGAATTTGACTGGAGAAGGTGGAGAAATGACAAGGTCATATTACACCAAGTAGGGCCATAAATGGATAAGCTGATTAACCTGGTATAGGCGATTTAATTGGTTGGATCCTGCTGAGTGAAGTTACATTTTGAGGGTAAATTTATTTATGCATGCTACCAGAATCAACCACAGCTTCAGGAAAGACTTGTTAGAAAGTAGGAGCCTTCTCATTTAGTGGCCAGCAACTTCCAGAATCTTTATTGGTCTTGAGAAGGTGATTTGGTGGAGGATTGAGACGGTCTCTTTTAAGTGCTCCTCTGTTGGTGTTCAAAGTTATTGTCTTAATGACAATGAAAAAACAACAGTTTATATTTCAGTTCAGGAAGATTCTGAAATGTTGGTGCCCCCATTACTGTTCTTGTTCCACTGCAGCTCCCATTTGCCACTAGTGGAGGAGTGTTGGACATGGAGTCCAGGGATAGTGATTTTGGATTTTAACTTTTTTAGCATTCTACGCAACAGTCATAGAGATCCACAGCACAGAAGGAGGCCCTACAGCTCATTGTATCCAAACCAGTCAAAGACAACCACCTAATTCTAAATAGAGTTATAGAGATCTCTGCAATTCTATGCACAAAACAACTGATTTAAATTTTCATAGCCAGCCTTTTCTTTCTGATTTGATTGGCACTAACTTTAAATGTGGAGACTTGATCCTTCCCTTTCTATCTTACCACTTTCCCACAATTGGGCCAGAGTATGTATTTCCTTCTCCCTGTGGACAAATGCTGGTTAGGAAGTGGGCAGTTTTGTCTTGGTGTTCGACAAGGCTATGAGAGCCATCAATATAAACCAGTAAGTGGGATCCAGCCAGAAAACTTTGTTTGATGTGTGTTTTCCACTTTATGCATGAACAAACTCTCAGATTAAACCTCAGCCAACATTCAGTAAGGTCAATATCAGGTGCTTGTTTTATTGAGGTGAAAATTTGATGTTTGTAATAATAACTTTCTCTAGGGCAATTAGAGATGGACGGTATATGCTGGCATAGCCAACAAGGCTCACTTCCTATGAACCAATATTTGTGAAACCAAACTTATGCTCATGTTGCCCTTTAATATAGTAAAACATCCCAAGGCATGTTATCACACACAATACATTACTGAGCCACCAAAGAAAGGATTGGTATGGATAGCGAAAAGCTTCTTCAAAAAAGTGGATTTTGAGGTGGATCAAATGGAAGCAAATAAGCTTGTGGAGGGAGTTTCAGGATTTGCACTATATTCTGCACAGTTATGGATGTAGCTGTAGATTGTGGGGCAAAGGAAATTTGGGATTATCAGGTGGTTTGGATGAAAGAATATGGAGTTGTTTGTGTATGACTGGTGGAAATTACAGAGAAATGGAAGAATTGAATATTAGGATTAGAATTTTAAAATCAAGATGTCCCTGAAATGGGAGCTAGTGGAGGTCAGTGAGAACATGGATGGTGGGTGAACAGCATGTAACATGACTTAGGAAATGCACTCTGTGCTGTGAAGCAGCCTGGAATCTTAATAATTGTAACTTTGCAGATCCTTTGGTAAATACTTAAATGGAACACTGGAAGGGAATAAAGTGTGCTTTGCTTGCTGCACTGAAATTGGCATTTCCTCAAATGAAACTGATTGAAAAATTATTGATCTGTTCCTTTAACTAACTTAGTATCAATCCTTAACCAGGAACTAGTTCTCTATAAATACTGGTGAATGGTTTCATTTTATTGTGACGTATGATAGGTATACAGAGTTTCAAAGATTAAAAGTGACCTAAAACTTGGAAACGTGTTAAAACACAAGAACTCGGAGCAGGAGTAGGCAGTCCAGCCTCTTGACCCTGCTCTGCCATTTGATACGATTATGGCTGACCTCATCTCGACCTTAACTCCATTTCCCTGCCAGTTGTTCATAACCTTTCCACCCATTGCTAATTAAATATCTACCTCCTCAAATTTATTTAATGTCCCAATCTTAACAATTCTGGGGTCGTGAATTCCATAGATTGAAGACCCTTTCGAGAGAAGTAAATTCTTCTCATCTGTTTTAAATCTGCTACCCCTTATCCTAAAACTCTGACCTATCATTCTAGATTTCTCCATATGAGGAAACATCCTTTTATGTCTACTTTGTCAGTCCCTTTAGCATCTTGTATACCTCCAATTAGATCTCCTCTCATTCTTCTAAACTCCAGAGAATATAGGCCTGAACTGCTCAATCTCTTTTCGTCAGAAGTCACACGACACCAGGGTTATAAGTCCAACAGATTTTGTTTTGAAATCATAACCTTGTGTCTTGTGACTTCTGACTTTGTCCACCCCAGTCCAACACTGGTACCTTCACATCAATCTCTCGTCACCAGACAGACACATTTTCTGTGCAAATCTAGTGAACCTCCAATACAACTATATCTCTTCTCAAGTACTGGAACCAAAATTGTACACAGTACTCCAGGTGCGGTCATGCTAACACCAATTAATTCCAAAATTCCATTCCCTTTCCTTATTACCCGTGTATTAATTTTCTGCTATTCATGCACAAGAACACCCAGATCCCTCTGCACTGAAGCACAAAGTACTCTGAAACTTAAGAGTATGAAAAAGTGATGGGGTTGATATGGTAAAGAGAGATAATGTTGTTTCTTTCTTTGGGATTACTCTGCATTGATTGACATCATTCTGTGCAAGTCCCAAAGTCAGGAGAGTTGAAGATTCAGTTTTGCTGAAGCCATGTTGGTATTACTGTCAGTCCTGAGTTATTGACACATTAATTTGGCATAAAAAGTTACTGTGACAATTTGATCATCTTGGCTTTTTGGATGCTTCAAGCAGATCGGACTGTTAGTATATTTTCTTCTATTGAATGCTCAATACACAAGCAACAACAATTAAAATCTGTAACTACATTGATTTATAAATCGTGTTTGGTATAGCAATGTCCCAAGGTGCTTTACAGAAGGGAATTTTAGGAGAGGTGAGTAAAAGCTTGGTCAATGAGAGCTCTTCTAGGTTGTCTTAAAGTAGGAGAAAGAGGCATAGAAGTTGTAGACCATAGACTGTAGGAGTAGAAGCAGGCTGTTCAGCCCATTTGAATCTGCTGTGCCTCTCAATGAGATCATAACTGATTGATAATCCTTTAGTCTGTTTTCTTTGCTGTAAGTCTTGATTTTGTGATGAAAGGTAAAGAACTCCTCTGAGAGAAAAAAATCTTCCTTATCTCTCTTTAAAAAGTGTTCCCTTACTTTGAGATTATGCCGTCTGGTCCTAGACTCTCCCACAAGGGGAAACAACCTTTCTGCATTCACCCTGTCAAGTTTAGAAAGGTAGTTTTAGAGCTTGTGCGTAAATGACTGAATTCATGGTCCATTGTTGTGATGTGGGCTGCAAGGGATCCAACGCATAAGGAGTCAGATTAGGAATAGTCGGGAATTTTTAAAAATTTGGAGAAGTTTAACGATAAAGGAAAGTCCAAATACAAATTTGAACACAGATGAACATTTTGAAATAATGCATTTGTAGCTCAATGGAGACTATCAGCAGTTAGTTGTTGCAGAGGGGGGTGGGGGTGAGGTGCCCCTAATCAAAGTTGCTTCTACCCTGTCTCTTACCTTTCTGACCTGATGGCCAGACCTGGCAGTTGACATACCCTTGTTTCATTGCCAGCACCTAGTCAGTTTCTGTTTTTGTTTTGATGTAACTCAAGTTGAGGAGCAGTGTTTCTGTTAAAATAAAAATCCGGTTGAATCAAAGGTAGTCTTCACCCTACGCCCACACCAAACTTCAAGTCCTACACACCTTTCTAAGAAGTCTTTGCAGTTATTGATGCTGATCCACTTTTTCTCTTGCCAAATTTGAAATGTATAACTTTGAAATCAGTGGGAAATTTAAAAGCGCACTGGTCACAATTTTCCAAGACACTACCTTCAGAAATTGTTACTTTTGGATTGATGATTTGCAAACATCGCTGCATTATTTCAGAAGAGAAGGAGGGGAAATGAGAAACCTATTGACCTGTGACTTTTAATTAGGTTGAGGATATTACTTGAATTATCATTAGGAACAGAGTGACTGAGTCAGCCATTGAACAAGTGTGAAATGATCTGGATCAGGAGGAGAAACTATCAGAGGGTCATAGCCATATTAAGCAAGTTGTAAACTGATGGATGGAGTTCCGTGTGAGGAAGGCTGATGTTACTCACTTGCATCCAAAGAATAAATAATGCATTAGTCTTAAAACAGAGAGAGACAGAGAGAGAGATGAAAAACTTTGGACAGGTCAAAGAAATTAATGTCCACATACACTACTGTGCACGAGTGCAAAAGTTAATCAAAGGCTAATGAAATGTTGACCTCTTTCTCAACTTAGATTGGGAATAAAAAAGGTTTCAGAAGCTTTAAGCTGTTATCCTTCAATTGTGCCGAACCTTGGTCTGACCACATCTGGAGGACTCTTGCAATTTGGGTACCGAATTTCAGAGAAAGTATCTAAAATTCTGGAGTACAATCTTAAAATCAAAGCCAGGCGATTTTTAGTGAAATCAGGAAGCATTTTGGTGATGGTGTCAGTCTCAAAGTTGCTCCATCAGAAAACTTAGCTGAAATGCTGGGTCAGTTGGAACTTTGAGATTTTTTTTGTGTAAGGGTATCCGGGAAATGGATCAACACAGGTAAATGAACTGAGGTGTAGATCAACAAAGCCTTGAATATCAGAATAGAGTTAAGAGGCTGAGTGGCCTATTTCTATCTCTGTCACTTACCTTAAACTCTGTGGACAGACGTGAATGAACACTTTCAATTTGGAAGATTATCCTTTGACCAAAATTTTTGCTTGATTTGCATTCTGAGTACCATTGAATGTCTGGATTTTGGGTGTCCCAGAGAAAATCACAGAAACCCTTAGTGGAAGAATTTGTCTAGGACATTCAGAGAAAATAATGCTAGATTTTTTTTTGGGCTGAACAGATTAAGGAGTGTGTGAGTATGTGTGTATTTTGATAACATTTCCATTCTGCCATTAAACACTTTCTGATTACATTATTCATTTTATTCGAATTATGATTATCTTAACCACAAAATTCACCAGGTTTCATTCAAGCTAACTGGTTACTTACTATCTGGGCATGTGTAGGTCAGTAAATGGGCTTGTATTGGTAAAAGAACAAAAGCTGCTGGATGGAAAATACATTTAATATGATGGATAGCTCAGAACTGTTTCCATTATGTGTTGAGGATATGTAAACCATTGTTTCCCCAACTCTTTCGGACAATGCATGTCAATCATCATCGTTCATAGTGTATATAAAGGAAAACTTTTCTCCTTTTCCCTCTGCTTGTTGGTTATTGAGTAGATAGCCAGAGCCTTTTTCCCAGGGTGGAAATGACTATCATGAGGGGGCATAATTTTAAGGTGATTGGAGGAAGGTATATGGGAGATGTCAGAGGTAGGTTCTTTACACAGACATTGGTGGGTGTGTGGAATGCACTGACAGCAGTGGTACTAGAGTCAGGTACATTTAAGCGAATCTTGGATAGGCAAATGGATGATAGTAAAATGAAGGGATGCAGGTTAGTTGATCTTAGAGTAGGATAATAGGTCAGCACAACATCATGGGCTGAAGGGCCTGTACTGTGCTGTACTGTCCTATGTTATCGTATAACCCTAAGTGACTTATTATTTCTCCCTATACCCTGCATATTGTGACTTGTGCTGGTTATGAAACCATGGGCAGTACTAGCTGTCAGTACCTCATCCAAAGTCCCCACCATTCTTACGTGAACAGAGTTATATAAAATCTCCAATCCCTTCCTCCCTGCTCGGAACCCATACCCTGAGGGTACTCTGGTTGGAGGCCCAGCTTCAAGAGGCTCAGTGCATTCCATTGAGGATAGATCTCTGTTGGAAGGGAGGGATTAGTGGATTTACCATTATCAGGTTGTTCAACTGCGAGATAAATTGCAGTCAATCCCAATTGAACCTCAGCCAATGTTGATGTTCTAGCATGGGCAAATGCTTTGTAGAAAACCCTGATTATTTTTCTTGGTAAAGATACTCTCAATTAATTATACCCTGCGCTGTCAAGGTGTAGAGAACCCCCCTAGTTTATATGACTCAATTCTATACGTTTACTAATTGAACCACTGAGGTACACTACCTAAAGCTTTAAATAATTTGCAAGTGTACATGACTATACAATTTTTAAAGTGACCTAATGGTAGTAATATGCTTAATAAAAACCAAAAGACCTGCTAATGCTGTAAATCAGAAACAAAAACAGAGGAAGGACCCGAAACATTAACTCTGATTTTTTTTCTTCAGATGCTGCCAGACCGGCTGAGCTTTTCCAGCAACTTCTGTTTTTGTTGTTGTCGGTAGTACTATGCTTGCTTGCTTTTAATTCCTCCTCCATAATCTGTGCGCCAGTTACTGTTGTTTTCTGGTGTCAATCAAAAGCTAATATTAGAAAATACTTCTCCTCGAGTTTAGAAAAATATTTAGTTTTTTTTTCCCCCACCAATCCCTACTTGTTATTATTTTAATTATTTGTGGACAGTTTCAAGCTGTATTCACTGACAGGAGGTGGCTTTTGTTTTGTTCCAATGTTATGTGCACAACCAGAATTTGCCTGATACTTGAAAATCTCAGAAATGAGGATCTCTCTTCTGCTTTGCTTCAGTGTCAGTTGGAGTCTTTACACCTAATTTGCAGTCCTTGCCCTGTCTCCAGAAATCCCATTGAAGTTAGAGCAGGAGATTAGGAGGAACCTTGCAGTTGTTACAGCCCCACAAGTGTAGTTTAAGCATGCAACTGAAACTGCTTGCAGTTGACAGCTTATTTTGTGAATGCATGCAAGAAACCTGTAGCTGTTTTAACTCTCTCAAAGAATTGCTTTTGGTAATAAGCTATGACTAGGTAGTATTTACGTGGAATATAAGTAGTGTACATCAATGACGGACATGTGATTGTGTTAATTCTAATGAATCTCTAATTATGCACAGTCACATGTTAATTTTCCTATTTTATATAATATATCCAGATGGATGTGGTATTGAACAACCCAGGAATGTTCAGATACCTAATAAAATGTGCTGTAACTAACAATTATTGCTTTTGCAGCTAGGATGTCAGTATTTGAAAAGGATCCTTCTGCAGTTATGCATGAATTGTATGGTGGCAATCTAGTAACAACAGATGGTAAGCTCATTACAAAGGTATATCTTTCAGAATATATATAAATGTGTATGGAGGACACTGAAGGAGAATGTTTACTGTCAGCTTTTCATAATTTGATGCAATTTATGTGTCACTATTTTGCAGACAAAGTCAATGTCTTTGACACATCCTATACTAACTCTATGTGTAAGCTGTTTGGAGACACCGTCTGCTTCACTAATGGTATGTTCCAGTATTTGTTTAGAGCTTCTACAGGGGATGCAGTCAGCAAAATGCAGCTAGAATGCCCCAGACACCGCTGATTTGGCAAGCTGAAGTTTGCACAGAAACATGAGGAAAAGTCTGAACATAAAAGAACCCATAAATCAGTATAATCAGGGATCTTAATCATTGTTAATAAATTTGTGGTTGACATTTGGCCTCCTTCATTGTCAGAAGGGAATGTGATTGGCAGGAAATCAGCAATTCTTTGATTTAGTAACTAGCAGACAATTGAAGCTGCACGGGTGCATCCTGCTGTGTTGCAGTTGACCAAATTTAGATTCAGTATGACAGTATTTTAAATCATTGAGGCAGCAGTAACAGAAACACCACTTGTGTTATGCTTCAGCTGACTGACTAATGCTGTTTTCACCTGCTCATGGGTTCCTGTGCACTGAGTACATTGTGATCAGAACCTCTGAATGAGTGCACTTGGTTGAAATTAGGTGTTCCAATTAAGGATCGAAAACTTTGTGAGCTTTAACTTCTTCAAGTGAGTGGAAGCATTTATCCCCACAGAGAAGATAATGGCAATGGATTTTCACCAGGGGTTGTAACTGTTTGTACTCCAAATGACTTTCTTGGGTCAGGGGTAATTAACTGTGCATGGAAGGTTTCTTGCTGTCTAAAGGCACCTTATTTCAGATGATGTACAGTGAAGGAAAATTTGCTGCCACTGCAGAAGAAGGGATATTAAAGAGGCTAAAGAGAGAATAAGCTACAGCCATTGTAAACTTTGGCAGAGTCTGGGGCCTACAAAGATGTGAGCTGCAGCCCCCCTCTCTTGGAAGAAACCTGGGCTTTTACTGTTGCAGTTTTGGGCCTAACACTACCTTTTCCTGGCAGACCCTAGGATTGGTTTTAATTGAGTGAGTGAAATGGATGACGGGAACAGATCAACAGCCACAGTCGAGATGGGTTAGGCAAGGGAAATCCAGGTTGGAGTGTTATATTATTTCAAGTACAGTCCCTTCATTGAGTGGGGAATTTCAAACTCAGTGGCTTTAAATATTTAAAAGTGCTTAAGAATTTAGGTGTGATGGTTATTGTTTGACATAGAGTTGTACTATTTCTGTATCTTTACACATATATCAAATTGCATTTGTAATGCATTTTTCATTGACAGAAAAGCAAACCTGAGAAAACAACATGATACGCAACCAGACCTGGAGAATACACCGGTTTTAGGATGGTGTCCAGGCTACTCCCAAAAGAAACCTGAGAGAGGTGACAAGTTAGAAGGGTCTCCTTGAAGATTTTTAGAGGGGAGGATCTGACCACTCATTTGTTAGTAGTGTGCGTTGAGTGAGTAAGGATGAAGAAAAGTTCAGTGGGGGAATGTGGAGGGTAAAAAGACACATTTAAGGTAGGGTAAGGTGAGGCCTTGGAAAAATTTGAAAGCAAGATGAGAATATTGGACTGAAAATGTTGAGGCATTTGTCCAAACTTTGAGAGGATGCTAGTCATACAAGATGGGGCACTAGGAAGGAAGGGCAGATTACAGCTGTAGAGACCTGTTTGAATGAGCTGAAGCTTCTGGAGTGTTTTGGGCTGGAGGGTATTAGTAAAATCAATGAAGGTGGGATGATAGTTCAGAGAAGCACTTTTGACAATAGAACTGACAGGGGAAGAGAGATAACTCCAAGCTTCTGCATCTCTTTGAATCAATGGAAATGAAGACAAAAAAAGAAAGAATCTGTCTTTATGTGTTGTCTTTATGTGTTGTCTTTTATATTCTCAGGCTATTTTTATTCAGCCAATGAAGTGTAGTTACTGTTGTAATGTGGTAACCACAGCCAATTTGCATGTAACAAGCTTGCACAAACAAATAAAATGATCTGTTTTATGATAAATATTGTCCAGCAAACCAGTTTCTCTAGGTTTTAATATTAGTTGAGATAGAAACAGGATTCATCCATTCAGCAGTCAAGCCTGTTTCATAATTTAGTTAGGTCATGGCAGTCTACACCTTGGCTCCATTTACGCACATTTGCTCCATATTCCTTAACTTCCGTATGCATCAATGTTCACTCAGCCTAGCCATGTATATATCAGTTGAACCCCGGCGTAGTGCTTTGAGCAGTGGTGTAGGCCACAAGGTGGAACGGTCACCTGTGGAAGCTGATGTCAGCTAAGTAGATTTCTTAAACCCTACCTCAACTGCCAATACCCCATGCAACTTCATCTCTGCTAAAGCCGCTGTTTTTCTGTGGGAGCTGTTCACATTACAGTCCAGTTTGAAGCAGTTGAGGTGGACACCCTAATACAATCTAACACAGATTGCCACAATGGCCGTCCTTCTTTGTGAAAGAAGGGAGCCCTGCATATCTGAGAGGACATTCGCATCAGGGCTCCGTAAGAAATGAGCAGTACTTCCATTTTGACAGTACAGAACTGTCAAAGAAAGGCAAGCTACACTCCCTTCTCGAAGCCGTCAGCTGCCAGATTCTGAAATTTAAAGGTCCTGACATCTACTTTGACAGCTGCTGTCAAAGCTTAAGCATTATAAGGTAAGTGTGATATTGGCATGCTGGGAGGACTGGGTGCCAGATTGGTAGGGGAATAGGGTGCCAGCTGAGGAGGGGGGTAAAGGGCCTGAGGTAAGATGCCAATGAATGAGGGTTAGGGTGCCAGGAATGGAGGGTGCCAGTGGTTAGATACCAGCTGGTAGGATGTGGGGTTCCAAGGGAAATGCGTAAAGTGGGCAGGTGGCAAGGGGACCAGTTAACTGATGAACTAGTTAGAGTGGGTGGCAGAATCGGTTCTCGTGGGGGAGTATGGGTAAGAGTGTATGTCAGGTCTGGGAGTTTGGGTTTGCTGGGTGTGGGGGAAGGTGTTACTGGAGGTGGAGCTGGGGAAGGGGTGTCAGGTCAGGGCGTGGGAGATTGTAGCTGAAGGTGCCTGAGGTAAGTATGGCATGTGTTAAATAATTACTCAGGACAAATACATTTAATAGTCTAACTTTTCCCAGGTAACTATTTTACTTAATTTCATTGGAACCCACTGAATTCTCCAGTTTAAATGGAAACTTTTGAAGCGTTCCAGGTGTAGAGAGACTGCCCAGTGGAATTTTGAATTTTCTTGGCAATTCCCTATTATGGGGATTCCACAGGGTCCCCATGCACAACTTCCTTCTATGCTAGAATAACGATTGGTCTGGGTCCTCTGGCCAATGCATTTATACTGTTTCTAGCAAGGATTGGAAAATAGATGTGGTAATACTTTAGATGCTGGTCTTTATTCTTTCAACTTATTTAAATTCGTTTAATTATTTTAATTTATAATGGAATGTGGCCATCGCCTGCAAGGCCAGTAATTTTTGTCCATCCCTAATGGCCTTTGATAGTTTGATGAATCATCTTGAACTGCAGTTTCTCTGGGTGTAGGATGGTACATGACCTGGAGATGCCGAATGTGCGCAGCCTTTATCCTTGTGGGACGAAAGGTTGTTGATTTGGGAAATACTGTTAAAGAAACTTCGGTGAGTTACGACAGGGCGTCTTGGAAATGGTACACAATGCAATTAAGGTGTGCTAGGAATGAGTATTTAAGGTGGTGGATGAGCTGTTAATCAAGAAGACAGCTTTGTCCTGGATGTTGCTGATTTTAGCGAGCTGCACTCAACCACCCAATTATTCCATCTGACTCTTGATTTATGCTTTGTAAATGGCAGAAAGCCCTTTCAGAATCAGATATTTAGCATTCCCAACCTGTGACCTGCTCCTATTGCCACAGTTATTTATTTGCAATTTTAAAAATTCCTTTCATGGGATGTGAGCATCATTGGAAAGGCCACCATTTTATTGTCCATCCCTAATTGACCTTGAATTGAGTGGCATGCTGGGTGATTTGAGAATTCAGTTAAGAGTCAACCACATTGCTACTGGCCTGGAGTTGCATGTAGAGGTGAAGATACCAGATTTCCTTCCCTAAAGAACTGGTTCGCTAATCAATGATATTTTCATTATCTGTATTACTGAGACTAGATTTCAATTCTGCATTTTTTAAATTAATTGAATTTGAATTCCATCTGCCATGGTAGGATTTGAACTGGTGTTCCAGAACATTGGCCTGGGCTGGATTATTTCTTTCAGTTACATTGCCACAATGCCACCACCTTTCTCCTATTTTTTGATCTGGTCCAGCCATGTTGCTGGACAGTGGTTCGACCAGGATGATGATGGTGGGGAATTTGACTGCTGCATTGCCATTCAACGGCAAGGGGAGATGGCTAGGTTCTCTTGTTGGGAATGGTCATTTACTGGCTCTCGAGTGAAGTCAAATATTTGCACAAGCACAAATTTTTCCAGATCATGCTGCGTTTGGGCATGGACTGCTTTGTTATCTTGTTCTGAATGGTACATGACCTAGTGTGATCATCAGTGACTCGCCCTACTTTTGACTTTGTGAAGATCATTACGTGGCTAAAGGTAATTGTGCCAGGAAACTACACTAAGAACTGCAGCAGTGGTGCCTTGAGCTGTTTGGTCCCTGACACCATGACTATCCTCCTCACTGCTGGGTAGGACTCCAACCAATGGATAAGGTTCTCCTAATTTGAATTACCTTCAATTGTACTAGGCTTTTTAATGCTGCAGTTAGTCAAATATTGCCTTAATTTCAATGGCAGTCACTTTTGGAATTCAGTTCATTGAGGCACAGAGAAGTAAATGAGTATAAAGAATCAAGCAAGATCCTGGCATAGTCACACTCGTCAAGCCTTATTGCCAGTGTTCCAGACACCACCTTCACCATCACTG